CTTGTAGCCTCATGCATAGTAATTCCTCATTATTGCACCTATTTTTTGTCTCTGTGTATGTCATTCGCTTTCGCTTTCTCTCTCTCTCTCTCCCTCTCTCTTTTTTTTTTTACACAGGGTTTGACAAGGTTAAGGATCCCTAGCTTTATTGACAGCTATTTACAGGTTAAGGATTCCTAACTTTATTGGCAAGCTAAGAGCTGTTACCTACATCAGCGCATTTGAAAGCATTTTTATTGTTATGAGACATACAAGTAGGGAACAGGATGAAGTTGGAGCCATCTGTGGGCCAGCATTTTCATTTGATCAACTGATTTTATCTCGTTGACATCATTATGCTCTACGAATGTGTTCCATACTCGAGTCATCCTGGGTATATATGATCTCAGATGGAGTGATGTTCTGGAGAAGGGTACAGCCAGAGTGAAGTTGCTACTTTCTGCCCGTCTTGTGGTATAGAAGCTTGCTTATCGCTGTCCTCGAAGTGGATCCAAGTGTGGTACTTTGACAATATTGGCCTTGTACATGACGGTAAGGCTACCCACACCCCTCCTATGTTGAAGGCTCTGCTGAAATGACAGATCTATCCAGGATGGGTCCAGGCGAGAGATGAGACGTCTTGCTCTATTCTCTACTCTGTCAAGCAGTCGCAGATGAGAGGGGGGGGGGCAGGCAAACCAAGAAAGTGGAGGATACTCAAGGTGCGAGCGTACTTGTGCCTCGTACAGAATCTTGCAACCCCTACTGTCAAGTAGATGCGAGATACGGCGAAGTGCTGTAAGCTTCCTGGCTGCCTTGTTTGCAAGATTTACAACATGGTTCTTCATGGTTAGTTTGGAGTCAAATTTCATCCCAAGGATATCAACTTCTTCTCCAGGTGCCAACACCCTCCCATTCATCCTTACTACTGCACCAGCATTACCATCATGGTGCCTAGAGACGATCATCATTTGCGTTTCTCAGGTGCAAATGTTACTTGCCATCTATTTCCCCAAGCTGATATAGCTCTCAGCTGGTGATTGATGTAGCTTAGAGCAGCTGGCATTTCTTCTCTTGGATAAGTGAATGTCAGTGTGCAGTCGTCTGCATATGCATGTGATTCTGGGATGAGATGAAGAAGGTCGTTGAAGTAGACATTCCATAACAATGGTCCCAGCACGCTTCCTTGTGGAACACTTGCCCCAATAGGATGTCTTGCTGATTCCGTTCCATTGAGAACTACACATAGAGATCTACCATGAAGGTAATCACTGAGGAGACATAGCGTAGAGCCTGCAATTCCCAGTGCTTGAAGTTTTGCTAAGAGGCCCTGGTGCCACACCCGGTCGAAAGCGCCAGCAATGTCCAGTGCTACCACGCAGCTGACTTTGGATTCATCCAGTGACTGGTGCCACTTAGTGGAGAGGTTTAACAACAGATCAGCAGCTGAGTAACCTTTCCTGAAGCCATATTGACGATCACAAAGTAGTGAGTGATAGTCAAAAAACTCTGTCATTGTCTTGAGATTATTGTCTCAAGGATCTTACCAGTGATTGACAGAAGTGACACTGGTCTGTAGTTACTGATTTCTGCTCTGCTCTTCTTTTTGTGAACAGGGACTACATTTGCCTCTTTCCATAGAGAGGGTCATTTACACTGTACTAGGCAGTGCTGAAAGATGCGAGTTAGAGGTGCTGCTAGCTGGTCTGCACATCTTCTCAGCAATCTTGGGCTCAACTTGTCTGGGCCCACAGCCTTTTCTTGGTCAAGCTATTTAAGAAGGAAATACGCCTCCTCCTGCCTTATTGTCACCACTGACAGTTTTGACACAGTTCTTGCAGCTAGCCAAGGAGGGTACCTTGCTGGATCAGGAACTTGCATTTTAGTAGCAAAGTGGTCAGCAAAGAGGTCCGCCTTCTCTTGACTACTAGTAGAGGTGGTCCCATCCTGTCGATTTAGAGGTGGAATGAGTTCATCAGGCAGATAACCTTGTCTGTCCTTGACCAGGGACCACCAGGTTTTGGAGCCTACCCTACCTGATGCTAGCTTTCTTTTAGTGTCCACCTCCCATTTAACAATGGCCCACTTTTGAACGTCACCCTTATGTCTACAGGCTTGCCTGTGCAAGTTCCTGTTATAGGTGGTAAGATGTCTCATATACCTTCGCCATGCTTTGTACTTAGCAGTAGCAGCCTCTCTACAACGAAAGCCAAACCAAGGCTGATCTGTAGGCTTCGTCACATATTGCCGGTGAGGAATGTGTTCTTGTTGTAGATTAAGGATGTGTCCAGTGAAGTCTTTCACTTGGTTGTCAACATCCCCTTGGAGAAGAGCATTCCAATCGGTGGTGGCGAGCTCAGAGCGAAGGGGTGGCCAATTACCTCTTTCCCATAGCCAGGTTGTGCGTGTGGACTCCTCACCTCGTTCTGCTGGGATCTTAAGTGTCGTAAAAACAGCCTTGTGGTCAGACGATCCAACATAGCCGAGGGGTTGACAAGTGACTATGCCTTCTGCCAGATCACTCACTACTGGGTCAAGGGAGGAGCCAGAGATATGAGTAGGGAAATCAACAAAGTTTCTCATGTCAAACACTGCAAGAAGGTCATCAAAGTCCCTCTGTATAAGGTGCTGGCTGAGGTCACCAACAATTATGATATGTTGACAATTGTGTTGTAGCAGAAGGGAGTCAATATTTTCCATTAGGAAGTTGATGGGATCTGCATGTTGCCACTGAGGTCTGTACATTGTACATGCTAGTACAGAGGTACTAGTGTTTATACAGAGCTTGAAGAACATCATTTCAAGATGTGTAGGGGTGGCAACATCTCTCTCTCTCTCTCTCTCTCTCTCTCTCTCTCTCTCTCTCTCTCTCTCTCTCTCTCTCTCTCTCTCTCTCTCTCTCTCCTAAATAATGTGCGTGTTGTGTTCATCTCCTCCTGCCAATACTAAGACAAACACTAAGGCAAGAAATAGATTCTCTTATTGAAAAATAGATTGCCATATGACTTCTACTACCATACTGCTACTACTACTACTGCTACGACTACTACTACTACTACTACTACTACTACTATTCCTAATATTTATGTTGCAAGTACTTATACAATTACAAAGACAAATTATGGACTCCCTTACTGGAAAACAGCAACTTACCAATGCACTTTACAACGCGAGTCGCAAAACAGACGGTGACTATTGGCAGAATTGCGTCGTGAAGATCGCAAACTTAAAAGGAATCTTACGTAAACCATACCACGGGTGGGGTTAGAACCCGCGATCAAAGAGTCACGAAACTCCAGACCGACGCGTTAGCCACTGGGCCAGCTAGCTACAATAAGATTCATCCAACTAGGTATATTTATACACCATAGGAAGGTTAGCATAGGCACCACTGTGACCACAAATGCAAGTTTTTACAGACGAATCTCAAGCTAGCGTTGCCGTGACGAACTCTAGCTCACGTCCCCTCAAAGCCGTCAACACGACTCATTACGTGAGCCAATCTTACGTATTTAACATTATTTTGGCTTTGATGGCTGAAATAATGTCCACCCCTGGCCTTGTTGGCCAAAATAATGTCTACCTGCGGCTATCCTGGCCATAGTAATGTCTAGCCCGGCTTGTTGGCCAAGGTTATATCCACTCCAGGCAACGTGTCGATCTATAAGGAACTTTACCAAATCAATGACTTCATAAAGCTGGACACAAAGCTAAAATAACTTGATAAAGCTCTACAAGGAGAAAACGTGACTTAATAAAGCTCTACAGAGCAAAATATGACTTGATAAAGCTCTACGAACAGAAAACATTATTTAACAAAGCTCTACAGTGAAAATAACATGTCCAGCTCTACACAAAACATGTCTTAATTAAGCACTACAAAGGCAAAAACATGACTTAAAGCTCTACATCGAGCGAATCATGACTTTATAAAGCTCCATCCAGAGAGAAAAATGGCATAATAAAGATCTACGAAGGGACACAAAAAGCTAGATAAAGATAAACGCAGAACAAAACAAAACGTAAAGGATACTTGATAAAGCTCTACGCAGAGTGAAACATGATAAAGCTCTACGCAGAGTGAAACATGATAAAGCTCTACGCAGAGTGAAACATGATAAAGCTCTACGCGGAGTGAAACATGATAAAGCTCTACGCAGAGTGAAACATGATAAAGCTATACGCAGAGTGAAACATGATAAAGCTCTACGCAGAGTGAAACATGATAAAGCTCTACGCAGAGTGAAACATGATAAAGCTCTACACAGAGTGAAACATGATAAAGCTCTACGCAGAGTGAAACATGATAAAGCTCTATAATGGATATTCGTAACCTAATAAAGGTCTTCGTAGGGCGAAACATCGCGTCTTTTATTTACTACTTTTCAATTTTAGTTTAGTTGAAAGAGAAATTAACTGAATAGTTGAGTTGGTGTTGCAACTGTTGATCATCATACAGGATCGCATTTAAGGTTGCAAACTTCTTGCAGACCAGGACTTTGGTGCTGGGCAAGAGCTCTTGATTCAAGAAATCAGAGCTACCCTTCCCCTTCCTCGGATGAAACCTGATTTGAACCCCCACTCCTACTGTCTGCAGCTATATGATCGCTGGTTTAACGCTTCTCTATAATAATTATAATAATAATAATAATAATAATAATAATAATAATAGTAATGCCACTCCTACTTCTACTACTACAACTACTACTATTACTAATACTGCTACTGCTTCTACTACTACTACGACTACTACTACTACTACTACTACTAATAATAATAATAATAATAATAATAATACAATAATTGGAACTTCCTAACATTATTATTATTATTATTGTTATTATTATACATAAGGGGAAGTACTATGCCCTAGGAAATGGGAGGCAATCAGATTTGATCCGAGGAAATGAACGGCAGCTCGTATCGTTTAGTTCAAGATCCCTTCAGTAGGCTTAATGGGCTTAGTTGTGCGAGGTATACTAGGGGTGACTAGGGGTAAATAACTATGATTTGGCATGCAGGTACTGGTGGCGTCGCGGGGAGGAGACTCTCATGGGCACGGGCCAGGAGCTACAGCTTGGCCCAGTCACCAGGCACAACAGTGGCCACTACTTCGTCAGCGCCTACAGCCAGAGGGGTGCCGTCAACGCTTCCTTCTACCTCAATGTACAGTGTGAGTACGGTAGTGAAAGATGGTGATATGACAGTAATGTGAGAACGGTGGGTCGAGCCTCCACCACTCCTGGTGTTGACTGATACATATGGTAGTGTTCAACAACATTTATAGTGTAATATACGCTAGCATCCATACATCACGATGCAGGTTACGTAAATGAACACAGATGCTATTAATGTGACATATTATTATGGCAACGTTTTGCTCTCCAAAACTCATGGAGAGCAAAACGTTGCCTTAATGGATATTCTTGCGAGCATTTAGCACAGCAAGACTCTTCTGAGCTCCTCCTCCTGAAGATTTGAAGAATTTCTTCATGAAGATCTCTGTTGCACTGAGGACCCTTTTGCTGATGTTTAGGAAACTGACTTAAGCACTTCGTGCACTTCTTAAAAATGTGATTGTTATACTTTATATATATATATATATATATATATATATATATATATATATATATATATATATATATATATATAAGCCAACCGTTAGTTATTCATTGATACCAGCACTAGAACGGCAGGGGCTCCTTTATCATTAGGTGGCTCAACATCTGACAGATCCTCGTCAGCAGACGACAATTTCCTATTTTCTGAGGAATCGACCATCTCTACCAGTCAGCTGAAGGCAGATCGGGCTGTTGATACCCACGGTTCCATCTCTCACTGCTGCCATCCTTCGCTTCTCGTCTCCCTCTTACGGTTATTAAACCCACATCTAGTCTGATATTACTGAACCCATATCACACGCTCCACCACACACACACTTCTACGACTTTCATTTAAAGCTTTAACAGCTCAGTCTTACCGTTATCCTTGAAAGGTCACTCAGTTACGACTTGTCAGGCGTAATATTCTTATATCTTCTCTTCCTTTGTCTTGATAAATTAAAGATATTAGAGCGTTGTTCTCTGTGTTCTACTTTTAATATTCTTTCTTTGGTTCTGCCTTCATTACCAACGTCAGTTTAATGCCTCATTATCATTATTTTAACGCACCGGCCGTCTCCCACCGAGACTGGATGACCTAACGAGAAAAACAAAAGTTTTCATTTTATATTTAGTAATATATACAGGAGAAGTGGTAACTAGCCCATTGTTCCCTTATTATTATTATTTTTTTTAGAGCTGGCATCATTAGTCAAATATATTTTAAGCTAAAGTTTTTCCAGTTAAAGTTGTATATAAAATAATCTTTATTTTGTGTTGTAATGCTCGTGGTTCCTGGTCGATCCCAGTGTTACTGGAACTTCTTGCCTCTTGGTGTCAGCAGGAAGAAGGTAGCTCAATCAGCACGGAGAATCGAGCCTCCATTACCCTTTGTAGTAAACGACCTACACAGAAGGTGAAGCATCACAAAGCAAGTGTAGGCCTTGGGTGAAATCCAATGTATTATTATTTCGTGTAGCATCATCCATCAGCAAGGAACCTTCCCTAGAAAAGATACTCTTTGGGACAACATTTCGATCCGTGTAAAGCTTCATGAAGCTATAAAACTCCACGCTATGTTAAACGTTGTAGCAATAAACGTTAGTTCTGCCGCGCATGTTTTTTTTTTTTCACACCTGACACTGGCAAAGTGAAAATAAGAAAAGCGTCGCGGATATTTAAGTTCTCTGGTAGAAAAACATCATTCTGGCCCCTGGATGACTGACCAGAAAATGCGTGAAGCCTCCGCAGCAGTAATTTGAAAAGTCCTGCTGTACAAGCGAAATGTCACGTCAGTAAAGATACCCATGTGTCACTTATGTATCTTATTCATCAAGTAAATTCACGACGACGATTGCAATGTATCGGATATCTGTTATTTGTCTGGCTGCCGATTCGTGGTAAGTGTAAAGGTGTTTTGTGCTCATTGTCAGCTTACCGGGTATTCCTTTTCGATAATTTAGTGGTAAGATTGAATCCTCCGCCTGTGTTTTGCACTCTAACAGGATTACACCTTTTTTTAGGCTGCCTCATAAACACGTAAGATAACACGTACATCTGGAAACCACCTTAGTGCTAGAAGAAGAACAAGGAAACGACGAAGAAGACAACACACAATACCGTTGCTGGAACAATTCACAAATAACGTTGCAACAATAAAATGCCCATTATTTGCATCTGTGTTAATTTACCTAATACTTATAATACTTATAACGATGTTTTCTGTCAATCTTGGATCTTTATGAAGCCATATGATGCAATTTGAAGCTTAAAAAAATAGTCCAGAACGAACCGAAACGTCGTTATTAGTTGCCTCTCCTAAGTGCAGGTTGTGAATTAGTCGTCGTACACAGATTCACATTACGCGGTATATCCTTCACAGGAGCAGCGCATCACACCGAGTATAAAATATTTCGGTCTTCTGCTCTTAACAGACGGGCCGGAGAAGGTGCAAACAGTTGATCGAGTTACGGTTGATGACGGAGGCAGAGTAAGCACTCAGTGTTCAGCTACTGGCAATCCAGTGCCTCACCTCACCTGGAGCAGGGAACCCACCTACAACCACAACAGGTGAGTATTACCACCTTCACTTCACCTACACCCCTTTCCTTATGTACATCAACAGCCTGCTTACCTATCGTACCATTTAAGGATCATTACACAAAAATAATGCATTTAATGTATTAAAATACCTTTTAAGTGAGCATAACATTCCCAAAAGCACTAGTAAATATCTCGTATTGTCTTACTACACACACACACATAATATATATATATATATATATATATTATATATATATATATATATATATATATATATATATATATATATATATATGCAATAAGATTACAGTAAACAGGTGATTTCAGAATATGCAAAACAACCACTGTGAAAGAATAGAGAAATTCCAAGCGCTTTCGTGACTACTCACATTATCAAGGAACAATGAAAATAAAGCATGAAAGGAAGGTATATAAGGGGTCTAGCCCACACCTCTTTGTTGTGGGATCTGATAGTGAGGTGTGGGCTAGATCCCTTATATACCTTCCTTTGATGCTTTACTTTCATTGTTTCTTGATAATGTGAGTAGTCACGAAAGCGCTTGGAATTTCTCTATTCTTTCACAGTGGTTGTTTTGCATATATATATATATATATATATATATATATATATATATATATATATATATATATATATATATATATATATATATATATATATATAAGATGTATAAAGAGATCTTCAGCGATTTCGTTATAACTTTCATCAGAAACTAGATCATTCTATGAATTTGCTAGGGTTAGCTAAGCATTCAGACAGTCTAGGAAAAATTGAGTGCTACATGTTCATTCTATGCATGGCGTGGCGGCCACTGAGTAGGAATATATACATATGAGATGTTGGCATCACGCAGTGACAGAATCTAACCTAAGGGAGGGCCAGGTGGGGCACTCACAAACTCGCCAGATAGAGCCAAAAGAACAAAAACACGAAAAATTTTAGTATTGTTAGTGATATTGACGTATGTTTGTTGCTCTCCCATGGTTAGTATTTAAGAAACAAACTGTTTTTGTTTGTAGTTAGGCTAAGAAATGTATATTCAAACGTGTATTTATCTCCAGCGTTGGCAGTTGAATCGATGGGCTGAATTTTCGCACTAAATAATTTATTTATTTTTGTAATAAGAATTATCTAGTACTACTACTACTGCTATATTTCTACTACTAATACTAATACTTTTATTAATAATCATAATAATAATAATAATAATAACAATAATAATAATAATAATAATAATAATAATAATAACAATAGTCTTGCCCCCCTCAGCTCAGGCACCACTCTGGCTTCGGGCGTGGGCGTTGCACGGCTAATGATAGAGTCAGCTTCACGGACTGACACGGGCGTGTACTTGTGTCACGCCCGGAATATTGTGGCTTCGGCACCTCCAGCTAGGACCTACGTCGTGGTCTCCCGTAAGTACTGATATCTGAGTGATTCTCAAGCCACCTCTTTTTCAGCCGTCATAGTGCTGGGCTCGTACCCAGCCTATTATCACTTGAAAAAGTAAGAAGAGCACTGCGGGAGGCTTACTGGCCATGAAGTTGGTAGGTACTTTTCGAATCCACGCCTACTCACACACACACACACACACACACACACACACACACACACACACACACACACACACACTTGTCCAACCATTTCCTAAAGCTATCCAAGGAATTAGCTTCAATGACCTTGATAACTCATTCTAAGCAGGTTCCACTCAAATCCAGTCCATTTCACTCAAAAATAAGGCAACAAACCCATGTGTGTGTGTGTGTGGTGTGTGTGGTGTGTGTGTGTGTGTGTGTGTGTGTGTGTGTGTGTGTGTGTGTGTGTGTGTGTGTGTATCCACAAAAACACTCCCTGATTTCAAACAGGTATAACATGTAACTTTATTGCAATAATTTTTCAAAGTTAGTAGCTTCAGATGCGGTACATTCATTTTTCGGTTGTTAAGGTAGCAAAACACTCAAACCCGCCCCTCGGTTTGCTGGGCAAACTCGATGTAAATTTCCATTTTCGGTCCAGCCCCTTTTCACATTCTGGTGTTATCATGGAACTGCTTCAGTGATCAAAATTTTCAGTCCTCCAGGGTTGCGGTTATGGTGGTACGTAAACGTGCTTTTCACACCCCCAAAGCCCAAAAAAAGAAGTCACGACAGTTTCTTGGACCTCTGCAAGTATGACGATACTCATTTTCGGGAATACTTAATTTTTGATCATTTTTCGAAAGTTTGAGCCAGTAGGGACAAAAACGTTTTTTAGGTATGGTTTCCCTCTGTTTTGCTCCCATCCCTATGGGACTTAATAAAGAATTTATCCAGAGCAAAACGTCGCTCCAGATAAATCTTTTCTTTTGTTTTTCTTCGGGGTTTTAGGGTGCCCGTGGCCGGTGGGCAACGTCTTCCCTCCACGTGAGTGTCCTGGTTCGACCCCCGGCAAAGGGGAAATATTGGGCGTTTTCTTTACCCTTTTTGCCCTTTCACCTAGCAGTAAGTAATTTTGGGGTGTTATCGGAGTTGGGGGGTCACACCCGGGGGGACAAGTTTGAAAGATCACAAAGGAAATAAACATCCTTGATGACGTCTGATTTTTTTGGTTATCCTGGGTGGCTAACCCCCGGGGGTTAAAAAATCCCAACAAAATCTTATTTACATCATTGAGTTTTTGGAAAGGGTGTTGATGCGAATTCTACTCGTGATCTGCAACTCTGAATCAAAAACCCAGAAAATATAATATTAAAAAAATATAATATATATATATATATATAATATAAAAATTTAAATTTTTATATTAAAATATATAAATGCCGAATAAGCCAAACATCATTGTCAAAAAAAATTTCTTTAAATCCTCAAAAAAAAAAAAAAAAAAAAAAAAAAAGCGAGAAAAGTCCAAAATAAGTGACTTTACATATTTGGCTGTTCGCTTTTTAGGCACGAACACACAATATCAGGGTATTACAATTGTGCCAGGGATCTTAGCAAAAAAAAGCCATGAGGGATGAAATCTTCAGTCAATATCTTTTACCGTTCTGTGTGTCATCAGGGGTTATGCAATGTTGCAAAAAGTAAAATAAGTGGAATGAGAGGGAAATTTTCTAAGGGAAGGTAGGGGAGCGCGTTAGTTCCCCAGAAAAATTGAAAGGAACGGGTGGCTTCATCAAACTACCTTACCCAAAAAACTTCCCCTCAACCCCCCTGCGCACTCTTGCAACATTGCATACTCCCGGGGCGCACGGAGAGTGTGAAAATCTTGAGTTGAAGATTTCGATCCCCCGTGGCTTCCTTGCAATATTTTGGTTTAAAAAAATATATAACTTTATAATTTGTGAATTTTCTTAAAAAACTGGGGGAAAGAACGTTTGGGCAAGGGTTTCCGCTCCCCAGAGGGAAATGACAGCAGCTACGGACGGCCGGGAAAAGCGAGGGTCGTGGGGGCCGTGGGGGCAGTGGGGGGCTGGTGTGGTGCGGGCCCCTCCTCCCCCACCTTGTCTGGAGATCGGGACTCATCCTCCTCAACAGTGACAAGTATACCCCCCATGAGCCCAAGGGGGTGATCAGTGAGTATACAGTATGCTCAAAGTTGGAAGGGAAGCTGTAGGTGGTGGGAGTATGTTGCAGGGTGGGGGTGTATGTTGCAGGCTGGGGCAGTTCTTGCAGGTTGGTGGGAGTAGACCCACAGGCGGTAGCAGAGCCTGCAACTGATGGCGGTAGTCCCAAAAGACGGGGGAAATCCGCAACTGGTGGCAAAGTCCCCAGACTGGGGGCAATAGTCCTGCAGATGGTGGCAATAGTCCCCGCAAATGGGGGCAAAGTTCTGTAACTGTTTTCAGAATACTGCAGGCGATGCCTATACTGGGAACTGGTGGTAGAGTCCCCGCGACTGGTGGGAGCAGTCCTGCGACTGGTGGCAGCACCTCAGAGGTGGCAGATCTTGCAGACTGGGTTTCAGAAGTACTGCAGACTGGTGGCAGTAGTCCTGCAGACTGGTGGCAGTAGTCCTGCAGACTGGTGGCAGTAGTCCTGCAGACTGGTGGCAGTAGTCCTGCAGACTGGTGACAGTAGTCCTGCAGACTGGTGGCAGTAGTCCTGCAGACTGGTGGCAGTAGTCTTGCAGACTGGTTGCGGAAGTACTGTAGACTGGTGGCAGTAGTCCTGCAGACTGGTGACAGTAGACCTGCAGAGAGGTGGCAGTAATCGTAATGGCTATCAGTAGAAGCCTTCAAGGCAGAAGCTGCAGAGATAAGAGACAGGAATTATGGAGACTAATAATTGGCGAGACTGATGAATTCTCATGGTAGATCAGTCCTAGTGACTAGCAGTCCTTTTGACCGGAAACATCTGGATGTAACTCTTGAGTGTATACCCAAGATATACTATACAAGCACTTAATCGTGTTTACTGTATGTGCTGTTTAGTTTTTATCGATTTCCTAGTTAATAATTGAATATGTTGAGGTATAGAGTGTTCAGTGGTCAGTCGTCACGTGAGGTCACAGACCCTGAGCTGCTTGGGGATTAGCGTGGACGGTTACAAAGCATGGCTTGCTTCTACAGTGTTTTAAAAGCTGAGGTTGGAGAGTTGAAGGAGGAGGTCTTGCTTCTCCAGGAGGAGATTAGGAGGCTGAAGGTCCACCTCAATGGGCCTGGGAGAGAGTGTGAGGTGGTTGGAGATGTGGGGAATGAGGCTTCTAGCAGTGAGGTGCAGTCTGTCTCTCACTGTGAGGAGGCTGTAGGTGGGTGGTAGCAACGCTACCAGCAGTGAGGTGCAGCCCAGCACCTGCTACAAGTGGCGAGTTGTTCACAGTAATGGGAGGCGCATCAGAGTAAGGAAAGTTAAGAGTGCAGATCTGAAGGTAGGAAATCGCTTTCTCTGTTCTCCAGATGAATGTACTTCATGGCCAGTGAAGGTAAGGGTTACTTACTGCCCCTGCTAATGAAGGTAAGCGCATTCTTGTGGTTGGTGACTCTCAGGTAAGATATGTTGATCGTGCTTTTTGTAATGGGAAAATAAGAAGATGAGAGATAGAGTGTGCTTCCCTGGAGCTGGTGTTGGGGACATTGTCAACAGACTGGATAATATCATGTCAGGTAATTGGGAACAAGCCCATTATCTGTCTCAGTGCTGGTGGAAATGATATTGGGAAGGGTAGGAGAGAAGAGCTGCTAGATAAGTACAGTCAGCTATAGATTTCATTAAGTCTAAGGAGGGATCCCAATCATATGTAGCATTTTGCCTAGAAGGGGAGTAGGAAATGAATGGTTGTCTAGGGCAATTGGTGTAAATTGCTGGCTAGACAGATACTGCAAGGAACTTGGCAATCCCATTCATTGACAACTGGAACAACTTTTATGGCAAACATGATATGTATGCAAGGGATGGGGTTCATCTCTCTGGGGCAGGGTGGTAGCACTTGCAGACTCGATTGAGAAGGCCATTGGTGAAATGCCTATGATTTTAAACTGATGGAAGATAGAGGTATGGGTGTGTGTGGGAAACAAGCAGGTTGCAACACTAGGGTTGGAAACAGTAAATGTATAAAAGGCATTCAGCATGAAGTTATAAATAAAGACAATAGAACAGGTCAGCAAACAAAGGGGACAGCAGAGGCAGCAAGGGACTAGCTCCCTTAAGTTTACTATACTAATAGCAGGAGTGTTTAGAAATAAGATAGATGAGCTAAGATTAATTGCAAGTGCAGGAAACATAGATATTATTGCTATAACAGAGACCTGCTCAATCTGAAAGATAGAGAGATGCCCTCTGAATGTCACATACAAGGCTATAAATTATTCCACACTGACAGGGTCAACAGGAAAGGTGGTGGAGTAGCGATGTATGTCAAGACAATTTAAATTGTTGTGTTAGACAAGATATTAAATTAGAAGCGTCAGCCACTGAATCTGTTTGGTTACAGCTTCTCGAGGCCGAGAAAAACTAATTTTGGGTGTGATTTACAGGGCCCCAAATCTTGATAGGGAGTGCAGTAAACTTCTAGGGGAAACGAAATTCGTAAGGCATCTACATACGAAAATGTTGTGCTAATGGGAGATTTCAACTATAGACAGATTGACTGGAGCAATTTGACAGGAAATTTAGAGTCGGGTGACTTTCTTGATACGATCCAGATTGTTTTTTAAAACAGTTTGTGACAGAGCCAACTAGGGGAAATAACCTCCTTGACTTGGTTCTGGCCAGTAGGGAAACACTAATTAATAATCTTGAGGTTAATGATGAGCTTGGGGAGAGTGATCACAAATCACCCCAGTTTTTAACATATCATGGAATTCCCCTAATAATGGCAATCAAGTCTCCGTCCCTGACTTTCGCTTGGCTGATTTCATAGGACTGAAAAATTACTTAGGTGGGGTGAACTGGAATGACCTGACTAGGGGTCAGGTAGGTGGTGATGGTTGCCGATATGATGCTTTCCAGGGCATAGTTCTAGCTGCTCAGCCAAATTATGTTCCAAATAGGGAAATCAGATCAAACAAAAATGATCCTAAATGGATGAACAATAGATTAAAATATCTGATTGGTCCCAAAAAAGAGGCATATATAGGCAAATCAAAAGAGAGAGGGGCAATTAAGAAATCGATATATTCAGTTTAAAGAGAGAAATAAAAAAGGGAATTAGAAAAGCAAATAGAGATTATGAGGTTAAAGTTGCAAGAGAATCGAAGACTAACCCAAAAGGATTCTTTCAGGTATACAGAAGTAAGATCAGGGACAAGATAGGCCCACTCAAAAGTTCCTCGGGTCAGCTCACTGACAGTGATAAGGAAATGTGTAGAATTTTTAACACATACTTCCTCTCAGTTTTTACACAGGAGATACCAGCGATATTCCAGTAATGATAAATTATGTAGAACAGGACATAATAAACTGTGCACTATTAGGGTCACAAGTGACATGGTCCTTAGGCAAATAGATAAATTAAAACCTAACAAATCCCCAGGCCCTGATGAACTGTATGCAAGGGTTCTAAAGGAATGTAAAGAGGAGCTTAGCACACCTTTGGCTAATCTTTTCAACATATCACTACAAACTGGCATGGTGCCAGATAAGTGGAAAATGGCAAATGTGATACCTATTTTCAAAACAGTGACAGGTCCTTAGCTTCGAACTATAGACCAATAAGCCTAACCTCCATAGTGGGAAAATTTATGGAATCAATAATTGCCGAGGCAGTTCGTAGCCACCTTGAAAAGCATAAATTAATCAACGAATCTCAGCATGGTTTTACAAAGGGGCGTTCCTGCCTTACGAATTTATTAACTTTTTTCACTAAGGATTTGAGGAGGTAGATCATGGGAATGAAAATATGATATTGTGTATATGGACTTCAGTAAGGCTTTTGACAGGGTCCCACATCAGTGACTATTGAGGAAAATTAAAGCACATGGAATAGGAGGAGAAATTTTTTCCTGGATAGAGGCATGGTTGACAAATAGGCAGCAGAGAGTTTGCATAAATGGGAGAAATCAGAGTGGGGAAGCGTCCCCGAAACGGTGTTCCACAGGGTCAGTGTTGGGCCCCCTGCTGTTCACAATCTACATAAACGACATAGATGAGGGCATAAAGAGCGACATCGGCAAGTTTGCCGATGACACCAAAATAGGCCGTCGAATTCATTCTGACGAGGACATTCGAGCACTCCAGGAAGATTGAATAGACTGATGCAGTGGTCGGAGAAGTGGCAGATGCAGTTTAATATAGACAAATGCAAAGTTTCTAAATGTTGGACAGGACAATAACCATGCACATATAAAACTAAATAATGTAGATCTTAATATACGGATTGCGAAAAAGATTTAGGAGTTCTGGTTAGCAGTAATCTGAAACCAAGACAACAGTGCATAAGTGTTCGCAATAAGCTAATAGAATCCTTGGCTTCATATCAAGAAGCATAAATAATAGGAGTCCTCAGGTTGTTCTTTCAACTCTATAACATCCTTGGTTAGGCCTCATTTAGATTATGCTGCACAGTTTTGGTCACCGTATTACAGAATGGATATAAATTCTCTGGAAAATGTACAAAGGAGGATGACAAAGATGATCCCATGTAATCAGAAACCTTCCCTATGAGGATAGACTAAGGCCCTGAACTGCACTCTCTAGAAAGACGTAGAATTAGGGGGATATGATGAGGTTTATAAGTGGAAGACAGGAATAAATAAAGGGGATGTAAATATGTGCTGAAAATATCTAGCCTAGACAGGACTCGCAGCAATGGTTTTAAGTTGGAAAAATTCAGATTCAGAGGGATATAGGAAAGTACTGTTTGTAATAGAGTTGTGGATGAGTGGAACAAACTCCCAAGTACCGTTATAGAGGCCAGAACGTTGTGTAGCTTTAAAAATAGGTTGGATAAATACATGAGTAGATGTGGGTGGGTGTGAGTTGGACCTGATAGCTTGTGCTAACAGGTCGGTTGCCGTGTTCCTCCCTTAAGTCAATGTGACCTGACCTGACTAGGTTGGGTGCATTGGCTTAAGCCGGTAGGGACTTGGACCTGCCTCGCATGGGCCAGTAGGCCTTCTGCAGTGTTCCTTCGTTCTTATGTTCTTATGTTCTTATGTTCTTATATTGTAGTCTTAGACATTTACTGATTAACTTTTTTAAGATACAAAGCACTGCATGGATGCAGTTTACGAGACTCTGGAATGTTTCCAGCAGCAATCGAAGATTTCTTAGAAAGGAGGACTCCAATAGGACTGGAGTTTTTTTTAGGTTATCACTTCCAGCAGGACTGGAGTTTCCTTAGGTTATCACTTCCAGCACGACTGGAGTTTCCTAGGGTTATCACTTCCAGCAGGACTGGAGCTTTTTTTAGGTTATCACTTCCAGGAGGACTGGAGACTTTTCTTCCATATGATATGATATTCCAGCAGGAATGTTTCCTAGACAAAAACAAAATATGAACAAGATGGAAAGTGCTCCGGCGACAAAAACAAAGAGCCAGAATAGATAGAGAGAGAGCATCGGGTACCGAAGTTTATGTCTTCTCGTTATCGCTAGCACAATAGACTCATAACAAACAGAGATGTTTATTTTTTTCTTGATTCAGAACTTGATTCAAAACTTAATGATTGCGACATAGACGATGCCTGAAAGTGGCCGGTGAGTTTCTTGACCTGGAAGTCGAATGAGTTATGAAGCATAGATTTTTTTTATAGTGTTTTTTGTGTATTGTTCCAGCCACGGTATTGTGCATTTTTGTTCTTTGTCCTATCCATTGATCGGGAGGTATCCTGCAACAGGGAAGGTCTCACAGAAAATAGGTAGGAAGTTACTTTCCTGGATACCAAATCTGATGCTTTGAAGAAGTGAGAAGAATGTGTTGAACATTGAGGTACCTGAGTAAAAACAATGGTAGAATCGGATACATAGAAAAAGGAATAAAGGTCTAGCAAAGAAATGCTGAAGGAAAAGAGGTACAACATAAACCATTGAACACAGTGAAGGGAACTGAATCTGAGGAACCTGGAGAACTGTTCCGAAAACTGAGCAACCAATGCGCTGGTGTGAAGTCAACAACGAGTGGAAGACAAGTTGAAGAGAGGGAACAAAGGGAGTGAGAAAGAAATGAAGGCAGAGCAAAAAGAAATACACAGAGAGGAGAATTAAACTTCCACGGGGAAGAATGAATGGGACTTGAAGTGAAAGAGATAAAGGAGGCGAGAAATTTGCTGAAATGCTGACAGATGGTCCGGAAGTAAGTCAAGTGCTCGAAGTACAGTGGTGGTTGAGGTGACTTTACTACCGACCACGTGAATCACTAAACAAGCAAGGAGAGCGTAGGGCACAATCATGAAAGACAAGAGACATTGTACAAGGAATGATTAGTGGATGGGAATCATAAACCAGATGCATAGCGAAATGTTAACGACATGAAGTAAACAAGAATGACAAGAGAAAGCCCGTGATGTTTAATTTTATAAAGTGATACACCAATAACCCGCATATAGGAGAATGAAGGTTATCAAAACATTTCGGTCCGACTTCTGGCTAGTTAATGGTCTAAGTCGCACCGAAACGTCGTCACAAGTTTCTTTTTCCTGTGTTCGGGTTATTGGTGTATTGTTCCAGCCACAGTATGGTGATTTTTATTATTTAATAATAGATATAAAGAAAATGGAGTATTACCTAAAAAAAGCGTCCGTTTGCGTAGAAAATCACGTAGAGACGCTTATAGGAAGGCTATACAATAAACTATGAAGCTAGAATGTGAACATAGTGAGAACAATAAAACCAGAGAACAAAAACAAGATGGAAGAAATATTATTTTTATTATTTTAATACCCACCTTCCTTACTTTAGCTTACCCTCCTTACCTTACGTCCACTTTCATTACCTTACGTCCACTAATCTTACGTTCACACTCCTTAACATACTCTCCTTATCTTAGCTAATTTTCTATGTATTCTCACTTACTTTAGTATTTTTGATTTATACAATACGATAGTTCTTAATCTAGATAGAAGCTTACTGCCCATCTCAGCTGATAGCCTAGTAGTGGACTTTCACGTCTTCTGCTGTCTATCTTGCCGTTACTCTCCTTTCCTTGCTTTTAGCTACAAACTATCACTAATAACGTCCCTTCACCAGCCTCAACACAGTCACTATCTCCCACAGCTACTGGACGGGTTGGTGTTGTGGTCGTCAGTGCTGGAGGTACGAGATATCATCCCCCGGGACTACACACTCTACCACTGTACAGCCCACAACCCCCTAGGCACCGACTCCGTAGCAGTGACACTCAGCCCGCCCTCACGCCCACACCCGCCCATTAACTTCACGGTCAGCACCAGCAGTGTCGTCTTGTAACCTAGTCTCATGTTACCACTTAGATTTTTGGGGAAACTGTTCTCAACGTTAAATTCTTAGCACTCTTAAGTTTTGTTTTCAAATCCCGTTTTTATTATGGGTTAGAATAAGGTAATTTAGGTTAGGTTAGGCTAGGTTACGTTAGGGCAGGCTATAGGTAAGGCTACGTTATGAAACATACTTCACTAACACCTGCTTTCCTCTCTGTGCAATAATTCTTGTTTCCATCCCTCATACACTTAACACCTGTCTTCTTCCCACATTACACATACACTTCTCCTTCCTACAGTATACAAACACCTGCTTCCTTCCCACAATATACAAACACCTACCTTCTTCCAACAGTACACAAACACTGCCTCCTTCCAACAGTACACAAACACCTGCCCTACACATCACAACACCGCTCCTCAACATACAAAACACCTGCCTCCTTCCAACAGTACAAAACATGCTCTCCAATAGTAACAACACCTGCCTCCTTCCAACAGTACACAAATACTGTCCTCCACGACGCTAGCTACTCCTTTCCACAGTATACTAACAATGCTTCCACTTCTCAGTGCATTAATACTCATCTCTATTCCAATGTAAACTAACACCTGCCTCAATCACCCAGCAGGTGAGCAAGGTGACGGCAGGTGAGGTGTGGCTCACCTGGTTACCTGGCCTGAATGGTGGCGCTCCTAGCGGCTACACACTGAAGTACAAAGCATCCGGTTCACCAGTCTATCAGGTAAATGCCCATTATATATATATATATATATATATATATATATATATAAATAATAATATAATAATATATATATATATATATATATATATAATCGGCTGAATAAGCACGATAATTTATATATATATATATATATATATAATATATATATATATATATATATATATATATATATATATATATATATATATATATATATATATATAAAATTATCGTGCTGAATAAGCAGAGAAAAAAAATTTGCTTACGAAAAAAATCTGTGTAAATCTCAACAAAACGGAAAAATATATATCCTCGATTTTAATTAAAGTCAAATAAATTAAACTGATGTATCATATATTAAGTAGATTTAAATTAAAATCTATTACGCTTACCTATGAAAGGTTAGATGACGTCTCTAATTTAGATTTTTTTTAGCCTAACTGCAATGAAAAAAAGTGTATCTATCCATAATGGAAAATATTAGAAGAGTAAATTTTTTGGGGACAGCTCAAATATATATAATTTAATTCCGAGGTTTAATGGAAATATTGAGAATTATACACAGAATTAATGAATTCTTCTTTGAGTATTAATGAAGAACATAAAAGTCTTAATGATGCTGCTGGACCACTGAACTAATTAACACCTGGTAAATACACGGGAGATGACTCACAGTACGACGTTTGGGTACGATCATTACTTAATGTTTCGACAGTGACCGAAATGTCTCGTTATATTTCGAATTTGTGGTTACTGGGGGTTATTATTATTATTATCACTTATTATTATTTTTCACTATTATTATTAACATCACTATCATTGTTATTATTAACGCTACCATCGTTCACTGTTATTATCACTATTATTATTATTATTATTATTATTATTATTATTATTATTTATTATTGCTATTATCACTATCATTAGTATTAGTATTATCACTATATTATTATTATTATCATTATTATAATCATAAAACGCTAAACTCGTTAGGGTTATAGAGCTCCTTGGAAATGATAAGTGATTAGGGAGATCAGTTCAAACTCCCGGATCAAGAGCTCTTCCTGGTCAATAAATCCCCCCTTCTTGAAGACGTTAGTATATAGATCAGTTCAAACTCCCGGATCAAGAGCTCTTCCTGGTCAATAAATCCCCCCTTCATGAAGACGTTAGTATTGATTGAATCATCTCTGAATACGATCCTCAAAAGACGTGGTTAAACTTCTTTGAAGAAGATCTGTGGCAACCTGACCTCCACATTCTTCTTTTTCACCGTGCGTGAGAAAATGGCAGCTCGAGATTTCGATGCTTACTTTTCTCTGCACCGTGTTACCAGACGTACTTTCTCTGCACCGTGTTACCAGACGTACTTTCTCTGCACCGTGTTACCAGACGTACTTTCTCTGCACCGTGTTACCAGACGTACTTTCTCTGCACCGTGTTACCAGACGTACTTTCTCTGCACCGTGCTACCAGACGTACGTTCTCTGCACCGTGCTACCAGACGTACTTTCTCTGCAGCGTGCTACCAGACGTACTTTCTCTGCAGCGTGCTACCAGAAGTACTTACTCTGCAGCGTGCTACCAGAAGTACTTTCTCTGAACCGTACTACCAGACGTACTTTCTCTGCAGCGTGATACCAGACGTACTTTCTCTGCAGCCGTGCTACCAGACGTACTTTCTCTGCAGCGTGCTACCAGAGTACTTACTCTGCAGCGTGCTACCAGAAGTACTTTCTCTGAACCGTACTACCAGACGTACTTTCTCTGCAGCGTGATACCAGACGTACTTTCTCTGCACCGTGCTACCAGACGTACTTTCTCTGCAGCGTGCTACCAGAAGTACTTTCTCTGTAGCGTGCTAACAGACGTACTTTCTCTGCAGCGTGCTACCAGACGTACTTTCTCTGCAGCGTGCTACCAGAAGTACTTTCTTTGTAGCGTGCTACCAGACGTACTTTCTCTGCAGCGTGCTACCAGACGTACTTTCTCTGCACCGTGCTACCAGACGTACTTTCTCTGCACCGTGCTACCAGACGTACTTTCTCTGCACCGTGCTACAAGACGTACTTTCTCTGCACCGTGCTACCAGACGTACTTTCTCTGCACCGTGCTACAAGACGTACTTTCTCTGCACCGTGCTACCAGACGTACTTTCTCTCCACCGTGCTACCAGAAGTACTTTCTCTGCACCGTGCTACCAGACGTACTTTCTCTGCACCGTGCTACCAGACGTACTTTCTCTGCACCGTGCTACCAGACGTACTTTCTCTGCACCGTGCTACCAGACGTACTTTCTCTGCACCGTGCTACCAGACGTACTTTCTCTGCACCGTGCTACCAGAAGTACTTTCTCTGCAGCATGCTACCAGAAGTACTTTCTCTGCAGCGTGCTACCAGAAGTACATTCTCTGCACCGTGCTACCAGACGTACTTTCTCTGCACCGTGCTACAACTTACTTTTCTGCACCGTGCTACCAGACGTACTTTCTCTGCACCGTGCTACAAGACGTACTTTCTTGCACCGTGCTACCAGACGTACTTTTCTCTGCACCGTGCTACAAGACGTACTTTCATCTGCACCGTGCTACCAGACGTACTTTCTCTCTCACCGTGCTACCAAAGTACTTTCTCCTGCACCGTGCTACCAGACGTACTTTCTCTGCACCGTGCTACCAGACGTACTTTCTCTGCACCGTGCTACCAGACGTACTTTCTCTGCACCGTGCTACCAGACGTACTTTCTCTGCACCGTGCTACCAGACGTACTTTTCTGCACCGTGCTACCAGAAGTACTTCTCTGCGCCATGCTACAAAGTACTTTCCTGCAGCGTCTACCAAAGTACTTTCTCTTCACCGTGCTAAAGACGTACTTTCCTGCACCGTGCTACCAGACGTACTTTCTCTGCAGCGTGCTACCAACGTACTTTCTCTGCACCGTGCTACCAGACTATTCTCTGCCTGTGCTACCAACGTACTTTCTCTGCACCGTGCTACCAGACGTACTTTCTCTGCACCGTGCTACCAGACGTACTTTCTCTGCATTGTGCTACCAGACGTACTTTCTCTGCACCGTGCTACCAGACGTACTGTAAACCGAGAATCATTGATATTATGTTATCTTTATTCAAAGCTGGCACTACGGTACGGTACGGTGCAGTACGGTGCAGTACGGTATTTTTATAGTTTTGACACATGTCAGAAATATCGAAACGTAATTTCGTACAGTACTTTAAAAAAAATTCACCCATACCATACCGTGCCATACAGTACCATGCCATATAGTACTGTACCGTGCCATACAGTACCATGCCATATAGTACTGTACCGTGCCATACAGTACCATGCCATATAGTACTGTACCGTGCCATACAGTACCATGCCATATAGTACTATACCGTGCCATACAGTACCATGCCACATAGTACTGTACCGTGCCATACAGTACCATGCCATATAGTACTGTACCGTGCCATACAGTACCATGCCATATAGTACTGTACCGTGCCATACAGTACCATGCCATATAGTACTGTACCGTGCCATACAGTACCATGCCACATAGTACTGTACCGTGCCATACAGTACCATGCCACATAGTACTGTACCGTGCCATACAGTACCGTACCATTCCGAGCCATACAGTATCATGCCATATAGTACTGTACCGTGCCATACAGTACCGCACAATTCCGTGCCATACAGTACCATGCCATATAGCACTGTATCGTACCATACAGTACCGTACCATACCGTGCCATACAGTACCATGCCATATAGCACTGTACCGCACCATACAGTACTGTACCATTCCGTGCCATACAGTACCATGCCACTTAGTACTGTACCGTGCCATACAGCACTGTATCGTACCATACAGACCGTACCATACGCACCGTGCCATACAGCACCGTGCCATACGTGCCGTACCATACAGTGATACAGTACCGTACCATACAGTACGTACCATACAGCACCGTGACCATACAGTACTGTACGTACCATTCAGCACCGTACCATACAGCACCGTACCATACAGTACTGTACCGTACCATACAGAACTGTACCGTACCATACAGCACCGTACAATACAGTACTATAACGTACAATACAGCACCGTACCGTATAGTACTGTACGGTACCATACAGCACCGTACCATTCAGTACCGTACCATACAATACTGTACCGTGCCATACAGCACCGTACCATACTGTACCGTGCCATACAGCACCGTGCCATACAGCACCGTGCCATACAGCACCGTGCCATACAGCACCGATCAGCACCGTGCCATACAGCATCGTGCCATACAGCACCGTGCCATACAGCACCGTGCCATACAGCACCGTGCCATACAGCACCGTGCCATACAACACCGTGCCATACAGCACCGTGCCATACAGCACCGTGCCATACAGCACCGTGCCATACAGCACCGTGCCATACAGCACCGTGCCATACAGTACCGTGCCATACAGCACCGTGCCATACAGTACCGTGCCATACAGCAGCGTACCATACAGCACCGTGCCATACAGTACCGTGCCATACAGCACTGTACCATACAGCACCGTACCGTACAGTACTGTACGGTGCCATACAGCACCGTGCCATACAGCACTGTACCGTACAGCACCGCACCGTACAGTACTGTACGGTACCATACAGCACCGTGCCATACAGCACCGTGCCATACAGCACCGTGCCATACAGCACCGTGCCATACAGCACCGTGCCATACAGCAGCGTACCATACAGCAGCGTACCATACAGCAGCGCACCATACAGCACCGTACCATACAGCACCGTGCCATACAGCACCGTGCCATACAGCAGAGTACCATACAGCACCGTACCATACAGCAGCGTACATACAGCACCGTGCAACAGCAATACCTAGCAGCGTACCATACAGCAGCGTACCATACAGCACCGTGCCATACAGCAGCGTACCATACAGCAGCGTACCATACAGCAGCGTACCATACAGCACCGTGCCATACAGCAGCGTACCATACAG